TTTGAACTTGTTTATTATTTTACCACTTCTTTCAAAATAGTTTTGCACTGAATCTTTAATTTCTTCACTATCACAAGGAAATCCCCACTCACCTGCAATGGAAATACATTTAACCAGAGTTTCTTCCTCATCATTTGTTAGGGCCTTTTGACCACCAGCTGGTTTAGCATGAATGCCTTTTATTTTTCTGTACAATGTAACGTACGGTATGTCATATTTTGTGACAATGGCTATCAAAATGCCTGGCTCATACTCCGCCACTGCCAGTTCTAAATTTTCTTGGGTATAATCGCGATATTTTCTACTTCCGACCTTTCTTTGATATTTGCGTACCATTTTCAAATCACCCCTAAAAAATAATATGAGACTCCCATGTAGGAAAATAAGCACCAGATGCAGTTTGGGGTTAGAATAGAATTAACAACTAAATAAACTATTAGAAAAAAAAATACATTGAGTTTCTATTATTTACCAGAGTCTGTATGATAGAAAGTATATGAGTGAAAAAATAATTGTATTTTCTTACCTCAAACTTGAGAATATTCAGTTCTTTAATAACAATGTGTACCGCACCTAATACCACCTGTTGTTTCTAAAAAAATATTAGTGCAACTATCAACGACGTCCCGTAGTTGCAAGGTCAAACGTCGGTTGGCTTTAGGCAATAATCCAGGGGCGTTACATGAGTTTTCAAATGGCCCCATATTTGCAAGTAGCCCCGGTTTACCGTACTTTGCTCTTCAGCCAAATTCATATTATTTGACATACCTCGTATACTATTGTACAAATTTGATATCTGATAGTTGCTTTTTAGGTTTCAGAACATGCAGAACTTTTTATGAAGAATAACTTTTTTTCGTAAAGTTAATAGTACTTTTGACATTTTTAACTCATTACTGCTTCTTACATTTGAATTACAATACACACAAGATGGTAAATAATTTTTTAATTAATCTATTTGGTGGCCTTTGTCCCTTGGCGCAACTGATGCATTTGTTAACTTTCATAGCCATCCTCAATTAAAAAAAAACAACGCCAAATACATATTGATTACCGTCCATGTTTAACAATAATTAACCAAATTATATTATTTATATATCTTTTAAGTAATTTTATTTTTTAATTAGAACCACCCTCTAACTTATAACATTTACAAAATGAGTGATTAGGCAAACCCCATACTTGTTCAAATTATTAATAACTGAACAAATCAATAGATGTAGGTATATATCTTAGAGATACAATATTGACGAGTCTTCTTTGTTGAGATTCAATAAAATTTGGCCTTAGCATAGTGTGTGATTACTATTTGTGTAATGCAAATATTATTGTTGGCTTTGGAATATCCAAAATGAAATTCTTTTAAATATATTTAGTACACACGTTTAAAGTTTACCTGCATAATTTGGGTTAACCGACCATGTTTAATTGGCAATAAATAACTCAATAGAAATGCGAATGTTTTTTTTTACCTTTTATGTTGTCGACTTATGCAAAGAAGAACATTGTAGCTGATATTTGAGAGTTTTCGTCTAGGTAATCTCGGTTCATCTAAGCAATGGAGTGCTCGAAAACATTATCACACCTTGTACACGTGATCTCTCTGACGAGGCTGCTTTTACAGAGTCACACTAAGGGACGATCAAGGTTTTATTAAACAATATGCGACTAGGTATGGAAAAATAACTCAAATTTTAACCAATGAAGAAAAATAAATTCAGTTTTGTGTATTTAACATTTAATGAACTACAAAAAAATGTGGACATTTTATTTCAGCAGGACAAACAGGTAAACATTTTTCAACTCCAAAATGATGTTTATTTAATAATAGCGTATAAATAATAAAAAAGTTATAATAAATCCTTTTGTCATTTTAGACCGGTTACTCAGTATCTGAAGAACTACTAGAAAAATCATTTAGATTAATTATCAACTAATTCATCTATTAGATGGTCTAATTCTAACATTTTCACTTCTACCTTATCTTTTATATGCCCTACGCAATTATTCCATATTTCCGCGGTAATAGACAAAACAGCTTCACTAAAAATACTTTTAAGATCGCAAAATTTAAAATATTTTTTTGGCAACATAGTTCTTTATGGCCGCCCAAATAAGCTCTTTCGGCTTGAGCTCGCAGTGATAAGACGTAATACCATTCTATTATGTGATTTAGCAATTTCGTCGACAATGTATTTATTATATTTGGTTTTATGTTCATTCACTATCTTCAAAAGTTCTGCTTTTACCATGTGTGTGTGTGTGTGTGTGTGTGTGATTAAGTTTAGGTTTCCCTTGGCTACGGATACTAAGTCCATTCGCCATGTTATCCTCGAATGGTATACTTTTCAAACGCAACCAGTCTTGGATTAGGGCTTTTTTTGTAGCTGTAGTAGGATTTTTTCAGCTTTTCTAGAATGGTAAGGGGCGTTGTCTAAAACAATTCTCTTCTAGGTTCGGAACTACACTCCGCACAAAAATTAATTCTTTCTAAAAAAAATTTTTTTTAAAGTTTGGTGTCTTATAAATTAAGAACTATTTGTATGCAATAATGGCAAAAAAATAAAACTTAAGAAGGGACCAAATAAATTTATTCGATTTTTTTACAAATTTAAAAAAGTAATTTGGGTGTAGTCGATAAATAAAACAAAATTAATACCGTGTTTTACCACCCCGTGCTATAAGTACTGCCATGAACGTGGCATACTTAAGATCAGGCTTTGCACCAATTGTTCCGGCAAATTGTCCCATTCCTCGGTTAAAGCATTTTGAAGTTGATTTAAAGTGTTTGGAACAATTGGTCGATTTCGTACTTGTGATAAATTGTCCCAGACATACTCTATTGGATTTAAATCAGTACTTCGGAACTGGCCAATCCAATGTGGGAATATTAACTTCGTTAAGGCATTGACGAACAATTAAAGCTGTGTGCGAGCGAGCGTTGTCTTGCATAAAAACAAAATTGTCACCAATGAATAGACCGTAAGGTACAACATAGGGTTCAAGAATGTCCGTTACATATCTTGCAGCTGTTAAATTTCATCCCACAACTGGTAGTAACTCTGTACGAGCAGTAAAAGAAATTCCTCCCTACAACATAACAGAGCCACCACCAAAAGGTTCCGTTTCTCTGTTGTTACACTGAAAATATCGTTCGTCATCACGCCTGTAGACTGGAATTCGTCGATCAGATAAAAACAGGCTGAATCTAGATTCATCAGAAAACAGAACATTGGACCAATCCTCTATATCCCAATTCACATGATTTTTGGCAAACTCCAACCATTCAATACGACGCTCCCTGGTAAGGCCTGGACACAAGTCGGCCACCCTGGCTCTAATTCCTCCTTCCCAAAGACAATTTCTTATTGTTTGCACAGAAATTCTTGTGTTGCGGGCAACGGCTAGTTCGTTTTGGAGCATTTGCACTGTACAGTGTCTACTTCGAAGAGCGGTTAATGTTAAAAATCGGGTGTCCGCTGCTGTGGTAACCCTTGGATGACCTTGGCCAGGCCTTCTGACGTATTACCCTGTTTCTCTAAGGCAAGCAGCTACCCTAGAAATTGTTGATTGTTGAACATCAAAAGCATTTGCAATGTAACGTTGACTACGTCCTTCTTTAAGTAATGTAATGATTCTAACCACTTCGTCATGTCCCAAATTTCTTCTCTGGCGGTCAGGATTATTCATTTTAATAATTTTCAAAATTAAATACTACAAAAACCAAGTTAACTTTACTAAATATTGAAAGCAACTAATCGCGAAAGTTGGTTGCAATTTTAAAGTATTAGTATTTATTTTACAAAAACATTTACACATAAAAACTCTCCTTTTTTATTTAATCCGTTCGCAAGTTATTTTGTTCACACACACAGTTTGTTGAGAGTATAATGTGATTCTTACCTGAAGGGTTCTTCAACCCAGTTGAGAGGCCATCTAAAATTGCTTGCCTTGAAGAAGTTATGGATTCATCAACCCACATTTTTGACTTAGTATGGCCTGCGTTTACCCAAGTTTCGTCCAGGTAATAAATTTTCCTATTCTCTCTTCTGTATGCCCTTATTTTCATTAAATATTGACTTCTCCACAATACTATTTCTGGTTTCTCGAGCAACAAACTATTTCTTCCTGTTTTTTAAATTTAAAACCTAATTTTTTCAATAACTTGTGGAATGTCGACCTTTTGAAACTTGGTAGATCAGTATCATAATTTACAACTTTTAGAAACGAATCTATTGTTGGCATTTCGTTTCGGAAAAAAAAATTGATGTACTTTCCTTCTAATAGCATTTAAATCAAAATCGTCTACCATATCAATAATTTTCTTTCGTGAGAGGTAGGTTTTGGAGCTGAAAAATAATGCTTTTGTTTATATTCTCTCATAACTGCATACACTTGAAGGAGACACTCCAACAATGTTTCCTACTTTTCTTACGATTTCATCAACTGACAATAAAGGATTTGCTTCAATTTGATTTTTGTAAATGTTCAGAATTACATTTTTTTCATTAATACTAAAATGCAGTTTTTTGGTATTTTTTTAGGTGGACTGTGGAAACACAAATTAATAGTTTCTTGAGCCGTATCAGTATCTGACATTTTAAATTTAAATCTTTAAAATACCGTATATGTACACAAAAAATATTACACCACAGATTGTTAAAACGTAACTGACTATTCCTACTCTGTAGTGATGTACCAAAAGTAATGAATTTCGCCGACCGATTGCAGTTAAATCTGATTGGCCAGCGTAAGGAGGCATGTTTATTTTAGCCAATAGATGCAAAGACGCGTGGTGATCATGCTTCGATCACGCATCGATCGTTGTTTGGGTCGCTTTGTTTGTTGGATGGATATAGTTTAGAATAATACCGTAAGTATTCTAAAAAAATAGTCCCATTTAATGAGAAATCAATTCTTCAAGACGTTAAACTGAATTATTATTAATAAAAAAAAAAAAAAATTCCAAACGACTATTCATAATTTATAACAAAAACAAATTTCTACTTATATACATGTATTTATACTACTAAATAACAAGTTATTGCATTCGACATAATAAATAATATATTTTAACTATATTTTGAACATCATTTAATGAGTAACCTTCAGTGAATTGGTAAAAAAACGATATAACAAAAACAGTATAACAAGATAAAAAAAAGAACATCACCATTTAACATATTTTTTATATTCTTCGTTTACTGATATTCTTTTTATTGTTTCATACCCAATAATTATGCTAAAACTAAATGTAGCTGACTGTATAAGTCTTGCACTTAGACCTTTGGTAAACATATTGATACCCTCTTCTACCCACAAGTCTCTAAATGCACACCGCATGGATCCTATTCTCTGTACTTGTAATCTCGCTCTAACCACATCTAAAGGATTAGTCAAAAGAGTTGTAGTAAATCCACCTAATGTTCCAGAGATGCTCTGCAGCAAAAGATGTGAAAACCAGCTTGGTGCTATTGCATATAAATGTTCTGGAAAAGAAAAAGATGAGCAGGTTTGTATAAACAACTTATATAATATGATTATTAGAGAATAATGTTCTTTACCTTGGTAAAAATGGTAGAAACCCCACCACAAAGCTGAGTTTGGGACATATGAACACAAGCTGGCAAAATAACCTCTATAAAATCCAACAAGTCCATCTGTTTTGAAAATTTGTTTGGCCACTTCCATTGTCAAAACAAATTTACTTTGACCTGGTTTAGTTTTTATTCCTAAATTATTGAATCCCTAAAAAAGAGTCTTTAAAAATACATTTTTACATTGCCAGAAATAGAGGAAACAAGGAAAATATGAATATACTAAGTAAAGTTGTATTCCTATAAACCCATTATGTAATAATAAGGCCCAATACAGACGGTATTATTGGAATACAAAACCAAATTATCACAAAAGTCAGTTTATAAGATGTCCAGCAGCAAGGAAGACTCTCTTTCTAGTGAAGACATTCTTTTTAATTTATATTTATGTAATCAAAGAAAGAGAAGAGGTTACTGGGAACATTTATACATGGCGAGGAACAGAAGGAGAAGACTGTTTCTGGCAGCGAGAGAATTAAGGCTGAATGATGTCCTGTCTTGAATAATCTGTCCATTTAAAATTATACAAACACCGGAATTTTTCTACTGTCATAGTGATTTTTAAATTACTATTTCGTTCAGAAGACATTTTCTAAAAACGTGTGTATCGCTTGGTAACTGTTGAATGGCGACTTATTAAAAATATTGATAGGAAACATGTATTTTAGTTGTTGTATCATCTTCATATCATATCATGCCTGTGTAAATATCTGCATTGGGTGTCATATTGTACTCTCTGTATTGGGCTTAAATTAAACAGAATGGAATACAAGTGTAGAAATGAATAATTATTGTAAGTTTTAATATAGATGTATAAATTTAATTTAAAAATGTGTTTTATTAGTAAAAGATCTCATTTTAGTTGCTGTTACCTGTTCCTCTCTACCGTGCACACCCATCATCATTAAATGTTGACTAAGTACATCAAATGGCACAATTATAGTTTGCCCCACTGCAGAAGCACATCCTCCTGCTATAAGTGCTCTTAGACTAGAAGATACATTTTTTTGATGCAATACATGACGCACTCCTTCATAAGTCGATATATAAAAAACTCCTGAATAAAGATAAAGATTATTAGTGAATACTGAAAACAATTTTGACATAATTGTATTTTTGTTTAAATTTGGAAGATACTACATTGCATATTTACAGTAAATAATGATGTTTTAAGTATATAATTTGAACTTCAAACTGGTATTCCTAAAATCCAATAAATAAAACATATATTTAATAATTTTTTATATATCATTTGCAGCATATTTAGAACATAAATCCCATCCATATATTGTTTTAATTTTTGATAATACAGTTTAAATAACAACTATTATTTCTAATATTACATCTTCAAAGATATGATAACCTTTTAGTAAGATAAAAATGAATTAAAATGTTTTTATCATTTTTTAGGTTTGATTTAGTTTTTTTCATTAACAAAATTGTAGTTTTCATTTTATATATTTTCTAGTTGAAATACTTTTATTTTGAAAACAAGTATATCTTATCTCAATGTAAATTGGAAAATTTACATATTTACTATGCAAATTACTTAATTATCTTTTCCAGAAAAGATGGTACTACTACTTTTACTTACCACTAACTATTTGTACAGATGACACCCAAAATCCTCTATAGAGACCAGCAAAACCTTCATATTTATATATTTTTGCATATGCATCAAACATACCTAAAATAATTGGTTCCTTAAATTCTGGCTAATTCTTAAGGAAAGGTAAGTTTCTCTTCAAAAATCTTACCTGTATATAGATCATTGTGCTTCTGAATTTGTAATCTAGTTTTAATTAATGTTAAAGGATAAAGGGCGCATCGAACTGAAAATGAACTTAACATCGATAGAGGAAAGAATTTTGTTTTGTCCATCATGCTCCATTCAATGTTTGTAATTTTGTTTTTTGACCCATTATCATCTACTACATAAAAATCCATTATTGTTTTTATGAAATTAAATATTACCGGAAAAATATAAGCGATTTACTAGATAACATGATTAATATCATCTTTGTAATCTGTTGCATTTAATTTAATTTTATAAAATACAAAATCATAATTATTTACATCGACCACTTGCACTTGGAACTTGTACATGCACAAATGTCAAATTTCAGATGATGTTGATGTCAAAGTCAATATAACGACAATTGACGGATCATGAGAATATAGGAAACTGTTGAAATACAAGCGCCATCTATGAGCAAATAGCTAAACCGTTGTATAAAGATATCTATACAATGGTCAAAATATAATATCACCATCTATGTGCAAATAGTAAAAACTACTTCAAGATAAAAGAGTAAACTATATTGCTTTAGCTATACGCCAACAGATGGTGCTTGCAACCATTAATACATACTCGTGTATTTTGTATTGCCTGACAACTATAAGACTAATGCATTTAAAGTTTTTGATACTTTATTCG